CTCAGGGGGGTGGGGAATGGGCCAGGGTCCTGTCCCCTCTAGGAGGCGCCGGCTCCCACCCGGCCCCAGGGCAGGGACTGGCTGGCTCAGGGGGGTGGGGAATGGGCCAGGGTCCTGTCCCCTCTAGGAGGCGCCGGCTCCCACCCGGCCCCAGGGCAGGGACTGGCTGGCTCAGGGGGGTGGGGAATGGGGCAGGGTCCTGTCCCCTCTAGGAGGCGCCGGCTCCCACCCGGCCCCAGGGCAGGGACTGGCTGGCTCAGGGGGGCAGGGAATGAGGCAGGGGTCTGTCCCCTCTAGGGAGCGCTGGCATCAGGAAAATTCCCTTCTCCCCTAGGGTGGTGACGGTGGGGGGGGAGGAGCTGTGTGTGTGGGGATTATGGGGAGTTGTGCATTTGAGGGGGGAGCTCTCTGCTCAGGCTGCCCCCCGGGGCTGGGACCCTCACAGCTAGACCAGCTGTTAATAGGCTCCTGGCGCCCCCTGATGGCCGCTTGGGCCCTGGCACGCACCAGCCAAGGACTCTGCGGGGTGATTTGTGGGGGGGCAGAAGTGTGTGTGTGTGGGGGGAGTACCTGGGCACAGCCTTCAGTGGCTAGATTTTCAAAAGGGGGGAAGCGGGGGGTCCCTCAAAGTCCCCCGCCCCATTAGGGCCTCTGGTCGCTGCCTGGCTGCCGGATGGGGCTATGACCGCTCCCCTGGACCTCGCCCTGGCGGGGGGGGAGGGGGGGGGAGAGACAGCTGCAGGCGCTGACTCACGGCAGGCACCTGGCCATGGGGTGGAGCCGCTGCCGCTCCCAGCCCACCTGGGCTGCGGGCAGAGGGGCGGGGCCGCCAGGTGAGTGGAAGGGAGGGGGCCGGGCCGGCCTGGACGGTGGGCGGCAACAGGGGGTGGGATCACCTTTTGTAGACCACCTTGAGGTCCCGCCACTCGAGGAAGCTGCACATCTTGGGCTTGCGGGCGAGCACCACCTGCATGAGCTCCCGCACCATCTTCTTCTTCTCCTTGTCCGAGGTGGCCAGGTACCACTTCTGCAGCCGCAGCTTCCCCTGACGGCTGAAGAGCAGCATGAACCGCATCTGCCATGGGGAGAGCGCGGGTCAGAGCAGGGCCCCGGGACGCCTGGGTTCCATCCCTGGCTGACTCGGGGCCAGTCCCTGACTCCGTGCCTCAGTTTCCCCACCCGGTGACACTGAGCGCAGCAGGTGGCAGGCAGGCAGCAAGGGCCCTAGGCTGGCTGGCTGGCTGCTTCCCCCCATCCCCTCAGGTTCACATGCAGCGAAGGGCTGGGACCCTCACAGCTAGACCAGCTGTTAACGGACTCCTGGCGCCCCCCGAAGGCCGCTTGGACCCTGGCACGCACCAGCTGGCTGGTGCCGCGGGCAGACCCTAACCCCTGGCGGAGGGGTGTCCCTGGAGCAGTGCCCCCCACGAGGCCTGCCCCACCAGGCCCCACGTGAGCCCTGGCAGGGCCCCGGCCCTTGCAGTGTTAACGAGGCGGCCCGGGCGGGCCAAGGATCCAGCACCCGCGGCCTGGCGAGCCGGAAACAACCCATTCCGGGCCAGGGAGCCGGATGAAGACGTCATCGTCTGAGCCCGACCAGCCCCGACCCGTCCCGGCCACCTCACTTAGTCATGCTGCGCTGACGCAAACCCGCCCGGCCTGTTCGCTGGGGCAGGCCCGGTGACCCCAGGCAGCCCCACTCCTTTCAAACGGGCTCCGAGGAGGAGCCGCTCGGACCCTGCGGCTGGCTGGCCGGCCGGCTGCGCGGTGCAAGCAATGCTCCTGGAGCGCAGGTCCTGTCTACACTAAGGGTTGCAACAGCATAGTCCGATCACAGCAGTTCAGCTGCTCCTCCCCCCCCACCACACACACCACACACACGATCCCCATACGGGCCACGCAGGCCCCAGCTCCACCCGGGACAGCTCCGGTGTTTGACACCAGTCCTCCACCCCACCCTGTGACCACCGCGCTTCTATACAGCATCGTGCCGTCACCTCCCATGCAAAACGCACAGCGCCTGACACGTGGCGCGCAGGTCCTGTCTACACTAGAGGCGGCAACGAGCCGGCTTCTCGCGGTTGCAAAGCCGCATCAACGTCAGACACAGCCCCACCCCCCGTATGTCACTGTATCTCAGGGGTTCAGCCACACCCACCAGCCCGGCCTCGGGCCCGCAGGTCCTGTCTACACTAGGGGCAACAACAGTGTTCGAAGCCATTTCCCGGCCGGGATACAAAGCATGTGGCAAGTGAATTAAGATCACGGGGTGGGGCTGGGTGGGGGTCGTTCGGCGGCGTGGCTGTTCAGGAGACAGCATGTGGAGCAGATGCATCCCGGGCCCCGACTGCGGGAACGTTGCTGATTCTACACAAACCCAGCCCCACTGGCAACCCGCCCCCTTCGTCAGCCCTCACGGACATGGGCGCCGGGGCCGCTGCTCCCTGCCGCCCGGGTCCCTGAGTGCCCAGCGGTCCCAGCCAGGGGTGCCCCCCCAGCCCTGACCAGCCTCCACCATGAGCTGCCACTTCTGGGCTGCCCCCAGGTCAGCCTCCCCACTTCTCCCCAAGCCCCTCTCCCCATGTTACAATGCCCCACGGGCTCCCCCCTCACCAGGTGCTCCAGCCCCCCCACGGGCTCCCCCA